CAAGGCTACGGCGAGGGCTTCCGCTGGCTCTCCCAGTATATTGACTGATGTTTGGACAGTGAAAATAAAAGAGTTTTACTTCTCTGGACTGATCCTATTCACAGCTTCCTCATGAACTTTTCTAATAGAACAAGGAAAGCTCTCCAACCATGTCTGGCGTTGAGAAGCCAAGAGTCTCTGTCAGCTCTCTCATCGCCCAGTGGTGACATGTGCTCTTCTCCACACTATTGGGAGGTAACGCTGCCCCACGTGCTGGTGCAGGTCAGCATCCCGGGACTTGGAAGCTGGCAGGATTTGCCGGGTAAAGCTGTGTGCCGTCATGGGGCACCTGAAAAGAAAAACACGTCTCACCACTGTGGTTGATTTCAAAAGAAAGTGATTCTATTTTTTAAAGGTATTGTTAACATAATTGGTGTCCCTCCTAACTTTTTGAGTTCACAATTTACTTGGTCCAGAGTTTTCTATTCTTTTTTTTTTAAATCTAGTGGATGCCATTTAGATACTTCATAAAATTATGCACAGATACATCTTGGAGGGCAGAGCTCAGCCGAGTGAACTTACTCCTGTTGAGTTAGCAGGTAGGTGAGAGAAGCGCCCGTCTCTCACTGCCTTGTAGTAGGCGGCATCACCTTGTGCACAGAGAACAGGAAACGGCAGAGCCCTGGCCGCACGTTTGCGGCAGGTTTCCACTGGCGAGCTAGGGTCATTCCTCATCACGGACTGTACAACAAATTGTTCACTGCGGAGGAGTTAATTGTAGAGTGGGTTATTGTTATTATTTTACTTATAGAGTTACAGATTTCCGCCAGTCTTTGCTTTTATACTGTTGTGAAATTTCATTGCTTTCTAGCACCTTTTTCATTTTTAGTTATAAAAAGTGACTTTCGCCTCATAAAATTGAGAACATCTGTCACGTTGTCATACACTGCAGGTATGTCTCAATTACTTTTGCACAGATTCTAGGGGAATATTTTCTGAATAGGCAAGTCACACAAGACAAAGTTAACAGCTTAAGAGCTCTTAATTCTGTGAGTTGAGAACTTAAAAATCTGGTATTGTAGCATTTGCGTGAATCTAGGAAAGATTTACTCATTGGGCTTTAAAATTTCCACTTGCAGAATTTGGTCTCTTTATTGGACTGTTCATGAGCTCTGTCTTTTGATCAGTTATCAGTTTTTTTGGTGTTTGAAGTAAAGGTTAACATCTGTAGCTTTTCCAGATTTTTTTTTTTTTGGTATGAAATTGCCTTTCTCCATTCCAGAAATCAGCTGGGGAAACTCTAATCCAAGAACTTTGTGTGGAGCTGTTCCTTTTGAGCCAGCATCCCTTATTGTCAGTAAGCACCCCAGCGTCCCCCGTAGTGTGATGAGGACTATTTTTATAGCATTCCATTTTCTTAATGCCACGAATGAAATTGGATTTTCATGATCTTAACCAATATTCTATCCTTGTGCTAAAAGATGAAGGGATAGGAGATGGTCTTAAGATAGGAGAGTATCTTCATTTTTTTTCCTTTAATGAAAGATTAAAAGTTTCCTCAAAATTGAAAGTGATAATGATGATGCTTATTTACAGAGGATTGAACTAAATTCAGTGGATTCTTGCTTCTAATGTGAGGGTGGGGAAAGTGTGGATAACATATTCCAGGAATGAGAGTATCATTCTTTAGTTGGATTTCTGCTTGTGAGTCTGCAGTACTGACCTGTTGGGAAAGCATACTTTTTTTTACAGGTACCAAATGTAGAGGCTCAATGAAGTATAAATCTGGGAAGAGCATGCCTGTCATTTATTAGCAAGCATAGCTGGATTAAGACACAATGGTTGTTGTGTTGGAAAGGGGTTAAAGCCTTAAGTGAACAAATCTAGCTAATGGGGAATGAACTAGGTAGTTAACTTGCATACTTTTAATTTCCTTTGGCTAAAGGTAACCCATACTTCTCTATCCAGAGACATGAGAAGTATGATTGCTTCAGTGTTAGTTTTCCTATTTTTGTTTTTGTTTTCCTATTTGTCCCTAATCACTTTGTAGCAAGCGAGAAAACTATGGATTCTAGACAGGGCAGCTTTTTGTGAAAGTGGCTTATTTTGGCTACTGGAGAAAGAGGGGATTGGAAAGTCAAGTGGCACCAGTCTATTCCTTGCCCCAAAGAAAACACTGTTCCTGTAATAAGATAGTGGAAAGAAGCTGCTGTGAGGAGCTTGGCTCCTAACAGTGAGGATCAGAGCTTTGTACAGGAACTCCCATGAATTGAGACTTTTCATTCTGTTTTATCAGAGTGCATATATGTCCTATTTCAGGAAAAGTAAAACAGTCATTTACAAAAGAAAGTCAGTCTGTATCCTTAGCATTTTAATAAAAAGTTAAAACAAACTTGCTATCTTGCTCCTCTGTGTGTGTGTGTGTGTGTGTTGGTTTGTTCTGAACATACTATGACATTTGTTCTGGGTGGGGGTGGGGGGGAAGTTCTTTCCTACTTATGGGAAGAAATATTTACAGTGGATGTGATAGACTTAAGTTTTGCTGCCAGGAAAAAAAAAAAAAAAAGGCTAGGCCAGTTCACACATTGCACTAGGAGTAATAAATTTTGTACTGTCTAAGAGCCTTGGAGCCTGCGGTGGTCCCAGGATTGGTACTCATCTCTGCAACAGGATAGACATGGCAGACTTTTGAACAAAATCTCATATTGACGTGCTAGCAAGGACTGGGTCCAGTTTAGCTGTGATGAGTTTTGTATAAAACTCATGATTTTATACAAAATTGGAGAGATTCAGTGCAATGCTATATTTGGCAAAATAGGGGAAGGAGTGAAACCTGTGCTTGTGCATTTGCTAGGCTTGCAGGAAGCCTTGCTTTTAGAAAACCCAAATGAGGTTCTAAAACTAAGGAACTAGGACAAATAGATTGGGAAGCAAAATGGAACAGTTTCTTTTTGACTGAGTATTAAAATGATTGGAGGCATCTTATGATTGAAACGAATGTCCCTCTTGCTATGAAATGATGCCATGGGTTCTGTGTTTGTGTGGGTTGGTCTGTGTTTGTATGGGTTGCTTTGTGTTCCATTTGGAGTGGAACAGGAGAATTAAAGGCTGGATCAATGAGCCCAGCACTCAAGAGGTCTCACCCTGGCTGTTGGCTGTGACTTGGGACTCTCTACTGTGATGCCGTAAACACACACAAATCTGACGCGAGACAGTTCATGCTGGAGGCTTGAGCGTTATTAAGGGAGAATCACTGGACTTGAGGGAGACACTCTTAATTGCTACGAAGTTGGGATAGCTAAGAGATTTTAGTGTGATCAAGCCATCTTATGTGTTACAGAACCAAAAGAAGACGGTGCCTGCTCTGGGAATACTGCTAATTTCACTCCTGCCTCACTATACTGGATCATCATTTCCTTTCTCAAACAGGTTTATGTCCCTGGGAGCATTGCGAGCATTATCCTGTTAGTTTTATTCAAAAGTTTGAGGCAGAAAGGTTATATAATTTAAGTAGTAATTGAATATTTTTTCATTAATGCTGACATAAATATGTACTAAAATAATCTCATTGAAAATTAATGTGCATTTTAGTGATATAAACAGACCTTTGTAGAATTTCTTGCTTGTGGTGACTGCTTTGGGGATAGACTGAAGCCCCCCAAAGACATAATTGTTCATGCTCCTCTGTCCTTAGGGATACTCCTTTAGAAAAGTAGGGACGTGTGTGTTAGCTTAGATCAGGGATGGCAGACCATAGCTCATGGTCTACATCTGGGCTGCTGCCTGTGTTTGTATGGCCTGTGAGAAAAAAAAAAATGCTGTTTAGTGACGTGAAAATTATATGAAATTCAAATTTCATTGTCTATAAATAAAGTTTTATTGGAACACAGCCACCCCATTCCTTTAGCTTTTGCACGCTATAGCTGCAAAATATTTCAGACAAGAATGTATGGCCTGCAAAACCTGAACTATTTACACTCTGGTCCTTTACAGGAAAAGCTTTTCGCCCCTGACCTAGATATATCCTGGGTGGTTGTTAGAAATGTCATTATGTGAAATGTGCATACTGCAAAATATAGAGTTGTATGATTAAAAACTTTGACTTCAGCTACTGTTCCTCATAGTCACTTTTTTTTTTTAAGTTTTTTGTTTATTGCAGTAACATTGGTTTATAACATTGTAAAAATTTCAGGTGTACATCATTATACTTCTATTTCTGCATAGACTACATCATGTTCACCACCAAAATACTAATTACAACCCATCACCACACACATGTACCAAATTATCCCTTTCACACTCCTCCCTCCCCCCTTCCCCTCTGGTAACCACCAATCCAATCTCTGTCCCTATGTGTTTGTTTATTGTTGTTATTATCTACTACTTAATGAAGGAAATCATACGGTATTTGACCTTCTCCCTCTGACTTATTTCACTTTGCATTATACCCTCAATGTCCATCCATGTTGTCACAAATGGCTGGATTTCATAGTCTCATAGTCACTTTTAAAGGGCACTTTTATTTTGAGCAAATCCAGCTTCCATGAGATTTGCGTGGTGGGCTTTGGCATCAAAAGGCCCGCGAGGTAATCTTGTGAACTCCATGTCCCCTAGTGGATTGCTGTAGGTTTTTCTTTCAACATTTCAAAATACTGAATCGGCCAAGGATTTCCTTGCCCGTATTATCCTAGGAGTCAGAGGCCAAATCGCCTAGACCTGGGCAGATGCTGACAGGTCCTGTCATGGCCTGGGCAAGCCTAGCCAAGTCAGCGCTCATTTCTGTTCCCTTTCCCGCAGCCCAACAAGCGGAGAAGAGACTAGGTTCCGAGGGACACTCCCCCCCCCCCGCCCCGTCCCATCTCCCGGTAAAGCCACACGCCTGTCACTCTGGCGTGTTCTCCGGGTCTGCTTTGCCCTCTACGTTGGCGCACAGGTGTCCTGCACCGGGGCGGGGAAGGGGGCGGGGATCAGTCTCAGCAGCCAATCAGGACTCGGCCCCAAGTCCAGCCAATCGGGCCCGGCCACTTGGGGCTTAGCCAATCCGGCCCGACAAGGAAGACCTGCGTCAGGGCTTGCGCCTCTCGCTTCCAGCTCTGGGTGGCGCTGCGTGCGGTCAGCGAGTGTCCCGGGGTCCTCGCTCGCCCCCTCGTTCTCCGCGAAGCCCCTGGTGCACCGTCCCGAAGGCCATGGGGCGGCAGTGGGGGCCCGCCATGAGGGCAGCTGAGCAGGCGGGCTGCGTGGTGAGCGCCTCCCGGGCGGGGCAGCCGGAGGCGGACTCGTGGAGCTGCAGCGGGGTGATCCTGAGCCGCAGTCCGGGCCTGGTGCTGTGCCACGGGGGCATCTTCACGCCCTTCCTGCGGGCCGGCAGCGGGGCGCTGACTGCGGCCGGCGCCGCCTTCCTGCCCGGCGACAGTTGCGGCGACGACCTGCGCCTGCACGTGCAGTGGGGTCCAACGGCCGCGAGTCCCGCAGGCCGCGCGGAGCGGGGCCGCCCCGGGCTG